ATCATCATCCTCATCACTGCTACTACTACTGTCGCTCGAGGAATCTTCACCAGCATTTTTCGTTGAGCGTGGATTCTCCAATGGCACTCCTCTACGCTCCGGTTTAGGAGGTACAACACTACCCTCCGCTCGAGCAGCCCGGCGTGCCTCCCACTTCATCGCCAGACGTTCCAAAGCTGTTGGCTGCTTAGACATCTCAAATGGCAATACTATATCAACATACCTTATTTAGTACTCTCACCCAACAACAGCTGATCAGGCTGAATTTGAAACCTCTAGTTGTGATAGCAACAGTTCAGCAGTAAACGAGAGAATGACAGCAATGTTAGCGACAGGAGGTTCTGAATCACAGATAAAAATATCTGACTTCTAATCACTCTTCTTCGCCTCGAACTTTCGGCGAGGACAATCAGGGCACAGGTCATCTCCATTCAACTCGGGATGGATGCACTCGAACTTCAGTACAGCTCCTTCAGGGTTGGTGACCATACCCAACTTGTCGTCAACACACACTGCATGACTACCAGGGAGGAACCACTGATTGTCAATACCAACTGGACGGGGAACAGTAGCTTCAGAGCCGTCCTCCAAGGCTACACTGACAGTTTTGGCAGCAACACTAGCGATTTGGCCACCGCGAACTGTGGCAAGGAATCGTCTCGAGATTGTGTTGAAGGCGGATGAAGAAACCGAGGAAAGCATAGTTGGATTGACAAATAGAAACCTGCAAGAAAATAATGAACATTCCATCAACACAAAAGGACACACAACTTCGATGGATGAAAACATGCACAGAAACGTCATCAACTATTAGAGCCTTTCACGAGTCGAGTACCGATGTCCTGAGCTTCCACGAGGGCCTTCGGTAAACTGCCAACCACTGACGAGCTCGGAAGGCATGCCGATACATCTGTTATCTTCCCGGACTTGCCCACGACCTCGCGAACTGCTTTAAAACTCATCCAATGAGGCGGAGCGAAGATACCGAGATTAGGCTCAAAGGGAGGACACAGGCCATGCAGGGAGATGACCGAAAACTCCGAGGGGTATCGAAAGCCAAACTGGGCTTGCTTAAGCAACTCCACTGCGACCTCTGTAGACAGTGCCTTGTCTGCTACTAGCGATC